TATAATTCCAAATATAGATAGATGTCTTTGAATCACTAGAAATCTGAAAAGAGGCCTCTCTTTTGACATGGGAATCTTCTGGTGGGGAGTATTGAATTCACAAAATTGATGGAAGTTATAATTTACTATTCTACAGATAAAAGCCCTCTTTTGAAAGTAGATAATTCATCTATGTTGTAACTTCCGTTTCCTAAGTTCAGTCTCCCATTTCATTGTATCATTTGGATGGAAGGTGGTTTTCACTGAGTAGATTGCTTAGGATGTGTAAGGCTACAGCAGTAGAATAAATGCTATTAGTGATCCCTAAGTATTTGCTGTCCTCTGTGAAAGTTATGCAAACCATCTGCTTCTCCTTTCTTAGTTTATTGCCTCTAAGCTGTTTTGCTACTCACTTATTTGCAGAGGAATGGAAAGATGTAACCATAGGGTCACTTTATGGTTCATTAAACTTGTTATGTTTAACAGTAAAGGAAGTGAAAATCAGAGACCTAACAAAAGCATTTTTTTTATTTTTATGGTTTTTTTTGTTTTTTTGTTTTTTTGAGATGGAGTCTCGCTCTGTTGCCCAAGCTAGAGTGCAGTGGCACGATCTCAGCTCACTGCAACCTCTGCCTCCCGGGTTCAAGCAATTCTTCTGCCTCAGCCTCCTGAGTAGCTGGGACTACAGGTGCCCGCCACCACACCCAGCTAGTTTTTTGTGTTTTTAGGAGAGACGGGGTTTCACTGTGTTAGTCAGGATGGTCTCAATCTCCTAATCTTGTGATCTGCCCGCCTCGGCCTCCCAAAGTGCTGGGATTACAGGAATGAGCCACCGTGGCTGGCCACAAAAGCTTTTATGTTAGTTATTAATTTCACATTCCTATACTACTGTAATATTTGAAGAGAAGTGATTGAAATTTAGTGATTTTGCTGTATATTTTTTGAAAGGTATAGTACAAAAAGGGGCTTCATCCCTTATGCAAATCAAGATAAAATTCTGATCAGAAGTCTCTAAAATATTTCCAGTACTTTAGGAAAAAAAACCCAAAAAAACAGTTTTTAGCAGTGGTAATAATCCAGCAGTGAGCTGGAAAGTATCTAGTTAGTATGATGAAAAGACAGAATGGCTTTTTCTTTAAAAAGAAAGTTTAAAAATATTTTTATAATAAAATAACTTTGTTACAGGTACTAAACTGTAGACATATTGGCTTTCAAACTATAATATCTATTTGAATTTAGTAGATTATAGATTTTGGAAATCAGTTCCTCTTCTCAAAATTTTTGCTGTAAAATGTACCTCTAAAACTATCTTTCTTTTGCTGAAGAGTCAAAAATATTTCTAAAACATTTTAATATATGAATTTGAGCATATTTGTATTGCTGGCCTAATAACTAATAATATCCAGCGATCGTATTGAAAATTATACAAGTAGTTTTGAAACATTAACCACGTGAAAGGGGCCCAGAAAATATATACTGACTACAACTTATTGATGAGTCTTCTGCTTTTTCTCCCATCATCTGTTTTCACTTCTTTTGCTGGCCCTTTTGCCAGAATAACACTACCTATCTGTTACCAGAATTATCATTTTAATTCAACAGAAAATAGTTTAAATTATCTTCTAATCAAATCTACCATGTCATTCTTTACAGTGGGTGAATTCAGGAGCCCAATTTAGAATACAAAGATTTCCATAGTAAACTAAACTTAATAGAGAGAAATTGACTGCATAATGTTTTACCTTTCCTTTATTATATTTATATTCATATTACTCCCACTTTTTAATTTCCATTTATTTAGACCCAGTGATTTTTGATATTTCAGTCAGCTATGACCTTGTCATATTCTAGTCCAAATCTGTTCTTTATAAAAAACACAGCAACAGCATTTTGTGAGGTTTTTTTCCCCACAATTAAAAGAGTAAAAAATATATATATAATAATTTGGAACTGAATGATGAAATTCATGAGTTAGGTAAAAGTACTTTTGGCTTTAGAAAAGGAAATAACTCATAACACTTAAACATAGCAAAGTTTTTTTAAGAGATTCATATTACAGTTCTAAATGGACATGGGAGTTAAAAGATTATAAAACTTGGTGTTGGACTTCCCACTTTATAAAAAATACACCCTTGTAGTATCTTTACATGTTCAGCTCTTAAAACCTGGAAATGAGATTGGTAGAGACTTAAATGATTCATACAAATCCTAAAAGCAAATTCGGGAGAAGTCCTAAGTTGGAAAATACTCAGCTCATAGAAAAACTCAGTGAATGTTTTATGAAGGGGTGAATTTATCTAGTCATTTACTGCACAAAGAAGTACTGAAGTTTCACAATCAATGTATTTAGCATTATTCTTATTGCTGGAGATAATAATGGTAAAAATTCAAAGACCCTGTCCTCATGGAACGTAGATTCTAATGAGAATAGATAGAAAATAACCATGTAAACAAATAAGCAAATAAGATCGTTTCATACACTTCAGAGTGCTTTGAGGGAAATAAAACAGGATGATGGGATAGAGAAGAGCCACAGGGCTGGAGGTAGGAACCAAGAAAAGGAAGACTTTTCCAAGGAGGTGATATTTGAGCTGACCCTCAAATGATAGGAAGGAGCCAGGTATCAAGGACCTATTGACAAGCATTTCAGGCAGTCATTGGGGGAAACAAAGTTGATGTATTCCCAAGAATAGGGGAAAGGCTAGTGTGGTCAGAGTATAGTGAAGGAGCAGGATACTAATCTCAGATGAGGTCAGAGTAGACAGGGTACAAAGTCCAGACTATATCATACAAGGCTTTGTAATCCATCTGAGTTTGAATGTATTATAAGTATAACAGGAAGGCACTGTTAATTCTAAGCAGGGGAGTTATATGATCCAACTTACATTTTTAAAAGAATGTATGAATGAATGAATGAAGTCAGCTGGCAGGAGGTAGAGAATAGAAATTAATAAAAGAAGTACCTTGCCTCAAACTCTTAACATATATACCACTCACAGAAATTTCTCAGAAGACAGATGACATATTTTTTTTAATGTCAAGCCAGGCATACCTTGCTGGAAGGATTTTCTGGTATTAATTTACTTTCTGTAACTTATTACAGAAACTCTATGAGACTTTTAGAAAAAAAATAATATGGAAATAACAATGTATAACACAAATTTGAAAGTATTAACTTTACCCAAAATGGCTGAAAGGAAAAAATTCATATTGCTGTAAATATTTTAGAAGTATTTGGGAGCACTTTGGCATGTATAAACTGCAGAAGAGCAGCCCAGACTGGTTATTCTCTACATCTGTGTAGTTAATTCAAATAAAGAGGAAAAGAGAAAGAACTGTCTAGTAGGGGTGTGGCAAGTTGTTAACAAAAGGATACACCAGAAGAGGCAATCAAAGAAGTATTTACTACCTCTGTGGAATTTATTGCCTCAAAGGATTAACTCTATGTGATTTTTTTCCTTTAATCTTTGTAAAGATCATGAGCATCAATATGGAATTAAATTTTAGTGCCTGCTTTAACCTTTGAGGTTTTTATGATGCATACAAATTTTTAAGTTTACTTTAAACATTTGAAAAGTATCCAAAGGAAAAAAAAAAAAAAAAAAGACAGTCTGGTATGTGAAGATGGGGAAATCTAACTAGTATTTAACATTTTTATTCCTTTAAAAATCCTTGTGAATTAAATATCATTTATATTTTCCAAGGAAGAAACCGTCTCAGAGGGTTTTAAATTGCTTGTCTAAGCTCATAAACTAGTAACTGTCAAGGTCGGTGTCTGAACCCAGATTTTTGATTCCACGGCTGGGATCACTGGTTGTTCCAACAGTTTGATCTTTGGAGCTGTTTTTAAAAGAGACAGGAATGTAAACATGTGAGCTCATTTGAGAAACATCTCCATTCTTTGACTTCAGCATGTTCAGCATTCCATTACTGTCATTAATGTGTTATCATCTAATTGTGAGATTGTTGTTGAGGGACCACAGACAAATCTATCTAGAGAAGGAGTTTTATCAGTGGAATAAGACTTGAGATAGTTCTAGAAAGTGACCATATCTGAAATTCTATCTGCTTTGGGGATGTGTGACACATCAACATGAGAAGTTTTTAGAATTTCTTTTTTGAATGATGAGACAGAACAATACCTAGGAATGTCGGGAAATGGAATAAAAAGAAAGTGTTAGGAAATGGACAGAAGTCCCTATCTTTTATTTGAATCTATGGCTGTTATTAAAGAATTGTTTTAATTTTGGAAAAGAGTTTATAATTGAATCATATACTATTTAAATACAATAAGACATGTCCATACTTGTATTGTCTGAGTAAACATAGCCCTTATTCTTATTTACATGAAATCTGTAGGTTTAGTGTCCCAGACTCTGAGCCCAGATAGTTGACAAAAAGTTCAAATACTAGGTTGGAGCCAAAGTAATTGTGGGTTTTGCCATTACTTTTGCATCAACCTAATACCAATCCCAACAAGTTAACCAGAGACAAATTTCTGCAGAGGCCTCACTACATAACACAAAGGAACTAATCACAATCCTGACATAAGCACACATAAAATCTGAGCTAGAACATCAAGTCCAAAAGTAATTGCTTGTCTGGCAACATAATGCAGTAGAAAGTTGGAAACAAAAAAAAGGAAACCCTACATCTGATCCTCATTGTGCCACCAATTGTAGCTTAACTTCTGGCAAGATGTTTAACTTCTCTGAACCCATATCATATATATACACACACACATATATATATATCTCATATATATATATGCTAAACATCTGTATATATGTGTGCGTGTGTGTGTGTGTATATATAGTGAGAGCGTGGAATCACTCTCCACTCCAGCCCTAATATTGCAAGCTACTATTCTTCTACATCTTAGGTATTCTTCCTCTGAAACTTAACAGGACACATATGGAATGATGTATATTCTCTTAGTGATCACCTCTGTAAATTGATTGAAATATTTGGTTTAAGAACTTGGGAGTGACCTTTTAACATTCTCTCTTCCTTTTTCAAAGGATTATCTGGGAGCCTGCATTGTCCTCACTGCATCTATAGCATCCATTAGTGGGTCTTCGAATTCTGGATTGGTAGGCTTGGGTCTTCTGTATGCACTTACGGTAGGTATGGATGAAAATATCACAGGAACAGAAAACCAAACACCGCATGTTCTCACTCATAAATGGGAGTTGAATATTGAGAACACATGGACACAGAGAGGGGAATGACACATACCAGGGCCTGTTGGGGGGTTGGGGGTGAGGGGAGGGAACTTAGAGGGTGGATCAATAGATGCAGCAAACCACCATGGCACACATATACCTATGTGACAAACCTGCACGTTCTGCACATGTATCCCTTTTTTTAAAGAATAAATAAAGGGGAAAACATCTCATTTTGTGCAGTGTTGGAGGGTCTACTATAGTTATTATCAACTCTTATTCATGGACGTTAGAGGAAAGGTTTAAATTCATAAGAAGATTACATCTTGCAAATAATAGTAGATTGGGGCCCAAACCCAGGTTTATAGGACAGTTTGGATTCATTTCTAGCATTGTGAACCAATTTTTAAGAACTTCTCAGATCTTGTGGTCAGAGTACTCTCCAGGCTGTTTGGGATCCCTGTCCTGAGTTGTACACAACCCAGTTGGGGATGCTACAATGAATGTGAGTATACATGAGATAAGTGCAAACAGAAGTGTATACCACTATCCACCGTGCAGGGAAATCAGGACAGTTCACAAAATAGTGACGCTTATGGACCCTTGAAGGGAGCAGACACCTTCTTTGCTGATATATCACATGACATTCTCCTTGGTCTCCAATATTCTGTAGCACTTATGAGTTGTATCACACATGTACACTAATGGTCCAAGTTATCTCGTTCCAAAATTTCCAGTGATTAACCACAACTTCTTACTTTAATTTATTTAAAAATTTTTTTTAATCACCTGACACAGATAACCAATTATTTGAATTGGGTTGTGAGGAACTTGGCTGACCTGGAGGTCCAGATGGGTGCAGTGAAGAAAGTGAACAGTTTCCTGACTATGGAGTCAGAGAACTATGAAGGCACAATGGGTATTGCTCTAAATATTGTTTGTTTCACTTAAATATTTATTTTAATCAAATATTAGTGTGTGTTGGGCATATTGTTGTTTCTGCTTTTGCTTTCCACTTCAGTATCCAGAAAACTGTCTCTCATCTTGGCTTTGCTTGATTATGTACACCTGAAAAGATGTGACTATTTATGCCTGAAAAGTCTTGGATGAAACCAAAGTCCAAACAGATATTTATTTAATGATATTTAAAGAGACTTATAAAAATATTTGGCCTTTATTACATTAATTGCTGACCTAAACTATAAACTATTATATTCTCTTTCTCAAGATTTTATTAACTTAGTGTCAAGAAATTTGGATCTTAAAATACGGACTGAGATTCCCAACTTTGCTAGAATAAAACTGTCAGGAAATTCAATACTGAGGACAGAATAATCTTCATTAAATGCAAATCTCCAAGCTTAAAAGGCATTCCTTTACCTAAGTTTTTCAACAGCCATCTAGCTCTTCAAGGACAAAATCCAGAAAACTTAGCTAAGATCATGAACCCCTTCGTTAGCCAACCCTTGTCCATCTGTCTTGTCTCATTTCTTGTCATCCACCTGCACCACTTTTACTCTGGCCACACTAACATGCTAGGCTTTCTTTTCCTCTTTATTCTCCTATGTACATATATTTAAAATAAATTTCCCAGCTCCCATCCTCTAAGATTCATCTCCGGCACTGGTTCCTCTTGGAGCCCTCCTGGACCTCCGAGGTTAGCACCGTAGGCTTGCCTTCATCATGGGGCCTCCATGTAGTACTGTAGGTGCTGACCTACTGGACACTTCCCCAAGGACAAAGCAAGCACCTCAAGCTGTGTCTTTCATCTCCATATTCCCAGCACCTTGCACAGCACCTCTCACATTTAAAGCACATAAGTGTTTAATGACCAACTGACTGAACAAATAAATCAATTCAGAAAAGAGCTATCTGTCCAGTTTGAATAGGATTGAGTGACGAAATGCTAAGGAGAGGTGATGATGGTTAAGGCTCCAAAAACAAACACGAAAAAACTGTCTTAAAAGTGCTTAATCAAATGGTGTTTATTTGAATGTGATTTAAATTTTAAAAAAAAATCTTGCCACATAGTTTGGTTCAGTATTACTTTAAATTTAGAAAAAAAAAATCTGTATGTATAAATGTATTTAAGTATGCATACGTTTCTTTCTACATCAATCTCTATCTGCCTATTATCTATCTGTCTATTTCCCCACCCCATCCTCCAGATCCTTCTCAAGTTCCAGAACATTGGCCACAAGAAGGGGAGATTAGGATACATGATCTGTGTGTCAGATATGAAAATAATCTGAAACCTGTTCTTAAGCACGTCAAAGCTTACATCAAACCTGGACAAAAGGTATGAAATCATTGCATTTTATTTGTTCTCTACGTAAAACCTCTGATGGAGTCTGCTTTTTTACTGCCTAAACTCTTCATACTTCCCAGCCAAGTAAGTATATTCTCACTGGCCTCACATAATATTCCCTACTTGGTGTAGGTCAAATTATCTGCATAAAAGAAAAAAGGGAGAGATAGGATCAGACTACAATACATGTTCTCCAAGTCATATTGTAATTCACTAGTCTCCCATGAAGATCAGAAAAGTCAACAATAGGCATGTTTTTAAAAATTTCTATCTTCTGGCTCCTGCCCAAAATAGCCATCCCCTTGGGAATCTTTGCATTCATAATAACTCTAGTCCCCAGATTACTTCTTTTAGTTATCATAAAAAGAACAAGTGGGCAGAAGAAAATGGAATCATTCTGCTTTTTGTTATAAAACTATCACTTCTAAGATAATATGGAATCATTATTTGTTAGTCCAACAATATATTAAATGTAAAAAAAAAAAAGCCACAAAGAAAAAGCAAGGCAATCACATAGAAATAAAAATAATTCGAATGAAGTCATTGAAGATTTGGTGAGGACTGTTTTTATATTTTTATTTTTTATTTTTTGAGACAGGGTCTTGTTCTTTCACCCAGGGTTGAGCGCAGTGGCATGATCACAGCTCGCTGCAGCCTCGACCTCCTGGTCTCCAGCTATCCTCCCACTTGAGCCTTCCAAGTAGCTGGGTCTACAGGCACACACCACCACACCCAGCTAATTTGTGTATTTTCTTGTAGAGATGGGTTTTCACAATGTTGCCCAGGCTAGTCTTGAACTCCTGGCCTCAAGTGACCTACACACCTCAGCCTCCCAAAGTGTTGGGTTTACAGGTGTGAGCCATTGTGCCCAGCCTGTTTTTATCTTGATAACAATTTATAATGTAGACCTAAGAAAAAATGATGACTACAATGTAATTATTTAAACATAATTACAGTTTTATCATAATATCTTAAGTTAAAAAATAAAACAAGCTAATCTTCTGTCCTTTGTCTGAGTCCTCTTCTCTTTGAGTGACAGCTGTTTTCATAGGTGGGCATATGTGGTCGCACTGGCAGTGGGAAATCATCGTTGTCTCTGGCTTTCTTCAGAATGGTTGATATATTTGATGGTGAGTTGCTAACTAAATTTTTTAAGTGGCCATGTGGTGCTTTCCTTTAAAAAAACCAATTTACCTAATCCTGCAGAAATAAAAAGCAAATATTTATAAGGACTTTGTGCTCTACACATGGTTCAAGGCAGATATCCCAAATAAACAGCTCAAAAGTAAATAAAGGACATAGAATTGGGGAAATAAAATGATGAGCCTTAAACTCATGTCTATACGTTATTGCTAAAGCATTTTAATAAACTTGGTAAAATGAAAACAAGACCACCCACTTTGAATAGCAGTAGGTGGAGGTAGAATTTCAAGAGAAAGAAAGAGGGAGGACAACTGCCTTGCTTCCTTTAGATTAAACATATGTCTCTTTCCAACAAAGGAAAAAAGCACAAGGAGATAAGTAGTCTGCATTTTAAATTTTGGTACGTAACTCGTACCATCATCTGCTTAATAACATGGCTTAATGACACTGAACATTTTGTGAGGAGGCAACCTCTGCTGCAAAGTGATAAAGCTCATGATAACAACATACACAAAACATACACATTCATCCACCAAATTATTAATAATATGATACACAGGAGCATAGAAATAACTTAATTTTTTAAAAAAAAAGAAGTCCCATTATTTAGTCTATCAAGTGACCTATAAATAGGCCAGCACATAAAGTATCTTGAATGAAAGAGGATCCAGCAATGAATTTGACCAAACTTAGTGTACTTGACAGTACAAGGAGTGCTTACTATTATTATCTGTAATGATTATGATTATCATAGTACTTTGCATGTTTATTGTACTTGACAGTTTATATTATTGAATTTAATCTACACAACGGCTCTGTGAGAAAAAGAGGTCAGTTTATGAACAACAACATGGAACTATAGTAAATGTAATTTCTGTGGGGTTTAAATTCAGGAACAAGGTAAACTTCTGTCACGAGGTTAGCAGCTTATTTTTTCCATGGCTAGTAATAAGGCACAGACACTTTAAGGACTTTCAGTGGGATTAAAGTTCTAAGGCAATTAAGTGATCAAAAATCAATTGACATTTTTCATTAAAACACTGTGTTTATGATCGATCATGTTAGGTTAGCCTGATCGTCGTGAGTCCAGACACATGATTTCAGGTCCCATGTGAACTATCAATGATTTACTCTCTTTTTAAGAGCAGTAGGCTATTAGGATTTTAATACATAATTTATTATTTCTGATCTGTTATTCCTGAATTAAGCTAATCTTGCCTACTCTAAATCTATCTGGTAAAAGGACTGCAGCTGCCATTCTGAGCCTGGCATCTTATCTCACAAGGCAATATGTTCTCTGCACAAAAGTGGTATGATTAACTGCGTATATCATGGTGGAGAAACAACATCAACACTGCATAAATCTCTATAAGTCCATATGCAGTATGGAGAAATTTATTAAAACTTGATATTCATATCACAGAATGTACTTCTCTATTTGTAATGCATTGTACTATTAAATCAATACAGGAGTGAATGACAAAGATCCTGGTTTTTAAAGAGCCTATATTCTAGTTGGGGAACAGACAATAAAAAGATAAGTAAAGGTATACAGAATATCAGATTCTGATAAATCCCATGGAGAGAAATAAAGTGGGAAGGAGGATAAAGGGAATACTAGAAGGGAAAGGACTCAGGAAGGGATAAAAGTACTTTTTGGTTGGTATGATCACATAAACAGAATAAAAACTCTGAATTCCTTTAGGAGGAATATATAAGAAAGACAAACCATCACCAAATGTGTATATTATGTAGAGACACATGATTTTTTTTATTATACTTGAAGTTCTGGGGTACATGTGCAGAACGTGTGGGTTTGTTACATAGGTATACATGTGCCATGGTTGTTTGCTGTGCCCATCAACCCATCATCTACATTAGATATTTCTCCTAATACTATCCCTCCCCTAACCCCCCACCCCCCAACAGGCTCTGGTGTGTGATGTTCCCCTCCCTGTGTCCATGTGTTCTCAATGTTCAACTCCCACTTATGAGTGAGAACATGTGATGTTTGGTTTTCTGTTCCTGTGTTAGTTTGCTGAGGATGATGGTTTCCAGCTTCATCCATGTCCTTGCAAAGGACATGAACTCATTCTTTTTAATGGTTGCATAGTATTCCATGGTGTATATGTGCCATATTTTATTTATCCAGTCTGTCATTGATGGACATTTGGGTTGGTTCTAGGTCTTTGCTATTGTGAATAGTGCTGTGATAAATATATGCATGCATGTGTCTTTATAGTAGAATGATTTATAATCCTTTGGGTATATATCTAATAATGGGATTGCTGAGTCAAATGGTATTTCTAGTTCTAGATACTTGAGGAATCACCACATGCTTAAATGGAAAAGTTGGTCTCCTGAATTTCAACCCTGAACTAGGAAATAACTTTCAATTTGTAAACAAATATTATTTTACTTGTGATTTTACTATGTATCTGTAACTTCCGTTTCTCCTTAACAGGAAAAATTGTCATTGATGGGATAGACATTTCCAAATTACCACTGCACACACTACGTTCTAGACTTTCAATCATTCTGCAGGATCCAATACTATTCAGTGGTTCCATTAGGTAGGTAACATATTTAGCAAACATCTGTGTGCCTCGGGATTTAGCCTTTGACTCATAGAAAGGTTTTAGTCAGAGTCATTTTTCAGGTCTGAGTGAACTGATATCAAGACAATAAAATCAAATATGCCACCCAACAATTTGGATTGGAAAAGCCTCGAGTTGCTAAATTAACCTATAAAATTATGTTTCCAGGAGATCTTCATCCCTTTCAGTTTGATTCTATGAAAGCCACTTTTTCCTCTATGCTTAAGAACGGTGATGCTTAGCAGACTTTTTTAAGGTGTTCTATCTTACAGATATCCAGTCTAACTTGTGTGTCTGGCCTGACCTCAGCAGATATTCTGACTTTGGTTAATCCCTTTACCTACCCCTCCACCCCTTACAATTTTACTTCAGCCAAAATTGCTATGAATAAAGCTGCTACAGTCTTCATGCCTGGTTCAGGGTTTCCCACCAAAAAAAAAAAAGCGGGGGTGGATATCAATCATCTGCTAGCTGCTTTATTATTTGATTAAATTCTCCAACCGTTACTCTAGGATACGTATTTATTATCCCCATTGTACAGATGGGGGTTTTGAAACTCAAAGAAGCTATAAGTTAAACCAAGTTCCTACACCTAGTAAGTGGAAGAACTGCTATTCCAACTGCAGTTTGTCTGATTCCAAAGTCCATGTTGGCATCTGTATTAGTCTGTTTTCACACTGCTGTAAAGAATGACCTGAGACTGGTAATTTATAAAGGAAAGAGGTTTAATTGACTCATAGTTCTTCATGGCTGGGGAGGCCTCAGGAAACTTACAATCATGGCGGAAGGCAAAAGGGGAGCTAAGGCACATCTTCTCATGGCGCCAGGAAAGAGGGAGAGTGAAGGGGGAACTGCCACACTTTTAAACCATCAGGTCTCATAAGAATCCACTTACTCTCATGAGAACAGGATGGGGTAAAATGCCCCTATGATCTAATAAGCTCCCACAAGGTCCCTCCCTGGACATGTGAGATTTGGAGCAAAATGATATCAGCATCGTCCCCCCGATCACATCTCTCATTTGATCATATTTTGTTCTATCTTGCTCCTAATGTCCATCTACTTAATTACAAAGAAGTGTTTGCCACTTCCTTTTACTAATTACTCTTTATTTTAAAGGAAAAATGTATGTAAGATTGCCTGATATTTAGTTATAAAACTACTTTAAAACTTCTGGATGTGTCAAGTAATTTAGCAATACCATAGTGAGTTTATATCTCCAAATATATTTATTATGAATACTACTTGATATGGTTTGGCTGTGTCCCCACCAAAACTTCATCTTGAATTGTAGCTCCCATAATCCTCAAGTGTCGTGGGAGGGACCCAGTAGGAGGTAATTGAATCATGGGAGTGGATTTTCCTATGCTGTTCTCATAATAGTGAGTGAGTTCTTGTGAGATCTGATGGGGTTTTTTTTGTTTTTTTTTTTTTTTTTTTGAGACGGAGTTTCACTCTTGTTGCCCAGGCTGGAGTGCAATGGCATGATCTCAGCTCACAGCAACCTCCGCTTCCTCAGCTCAAGCGATTCTCCTGCCTCAGCCTCCCAAGTAGCTGGGATTACAGGCATGCAACACCATGCCTGGCTAATTTTGTATTTTTTTAGTAGAGACAGGGTTTCTCCATGTTGGTCAGGCTGGTCTCAAACTCCCGACCTCAGGTGATCCGCCCGCCTTGGCCTCCCAAAGTGCTGGGATTACAGGCATGAGCCACCATGCCCGGCGATCTGATGGTTTTATAAGGGACTTTTCCACTTTGCTTAGCACTTCTCTCTCCTGCCGCCATGTGAAGAAGGACATGTTTGCTTCCCCTTCTACCATGACTGTAAGTTTCCTGAGACCTCCCTAGCCCTGCAGAACTGTGAGTCAATTAAACCTCTTTTCTTTATAAATTACCCAGTCTCGAGTATGTCCTTATAGCAGCATGAGAATGGACAAGTACACTACTATTGTTGGTGATGCAGCACAGCTTATCTAAAATAGTGTCATATGTTCCCATAGAGATGTATGTATGTAGCATCAGTCCTGCAGGAATATTTTGCTAGATACTATTTGGGTTATACCAAGCATAGTTTGGAGCCAATGGATCTAGGTAACAAACTTGGTAATATGATATAATGTATATAAAGTTTTATAATGATATCATCAAGACAATTTTTTATACTATTAAGATCATGCATTCATTCATCAAGCATGAATTCAGTGCTTGCACTGCTCTGAGCACTGTTCTAGATGCTGAATATACAGCAGTGACCAAAATAAATGAAACTTACATTGTAAGGAAAGAAAAGCAATAAGCAAATATACATAGAAGTTTCTCTATTTTGACTTATTGACTAATTAACTAATTTTTCCCTCAGATTTAATTTAGATCCAGAGTGCAAATGCACAGATGACAGACTCTGGGAAGCCTTAGAAATTGCTCAGCTGAAGAATATGGTCAAATCTCTACCAGGAGGTCTAGGTATGTTTTCTAAATAGTATATTTATTTTTTATATATGCCATTAATCCTACATATGTCTATCTATATTTTATGCTATAATCACATAACTTTAGCATTAAATCCCCTTATATTTAAAATAACACCCTAAAAGTCATTAGAATATTTCAAAATCTAATGTTTTTGCATGGGGTACAAGAGGGTGAACCCAATAACAAATTCTGTTCTATGTGACTACTCCAAAATATTACAATTAATACATTTACCTCTGCCATCTTTTGACAATTGGTGGGTACAGGTCATTGTAATGGATGTTTCCCTGTAGTTATTCTTTCTCAGTTGACCTGTCTGATCACCTACCATCAGGAAATGAATGGGAGGATTGCAGGAGCTGTTAGGTTTAAGTTTGGCACCATTTAGGGAAAGGCAATTTTGCCACATTAGTAGCCATTTTCTCTGCTGCCAGGAGGGAAAATTCCTTTTATTTATATAACATAATTTTCTTTGGTTTTTTTATTTAAAACATTTTATTAATTTATTATTTTTCAGCTTTATCCATTTACTGAAAAAGGAATCTTTTTTCTTAGCTAAAAAATAGCTAAACATTTTTTTAAGTCTTTCAAAACAGTAATCCTTTTGCTCAATTATAGACTAAGAGGAGATATTTTTCAGAACATAAAAATCTTTAAAGGAATAGTAATGTTACATCAATGACACAATTTTATCACATGAACAAACACATTTATACCTTCAAATGTCTTTTAAAGTGGATTTATTAATTGATATCTTGGTCAAAATTTTGAAAGAAAATATGAGATATATAAATTTGATTAGGTCTGATTTCAAAAATTTTTATTTTATTTTAAACTAAGTTACTTTGTAGTGTTGGGTATTTTTTATTTTTTTATTTTTTATTTTTTATTTTTATACTTTAAGTTCTAGGGTACATGTGCACAACGTGCAGGTTTGTTACATATGTATACATGTGCCATGTTGGTGTGCTGCACCCATTAACTCATCATTTACATTAGGTAAATCTCCTAATGCTCTCTCTCCCCACTACCCCCTCCCCACAATAGGACCCAGTGTGTGATGTTCCCC